TAGAAATAATCGTCACGTGAAATTAAAATTGGGAGGAGAAAAAAAAAAAAAGTGCTGCACTTACCATCCGTACATGAAGTCTAGTGCTCGTTGGGCTGCTTCGATATCCGCTTTGCTATTGGAATAGGGAACGAACCAATGAGGTACGAGCACTATCCCTATGTCACCTTTTTGGGATGGCTGTACAAAGAAAGAACAAATTTTAAAATAAATAAATGACCATTGACCGTAATGTTACTTTGCTGTTGTAATACTGCCCTTTAATTAATTGAAGAAAAATGGTTGCTATGGAATCAAAAGAAAATAAGAGAAAAAGAAATTTGTAGCTATCAATTTGTTTGACTAACCATACCCACCCAAAGAAAGTGTAATTGAGGAAAAGAACGAAAGGATTTAGTAATTGTTAATGACTAGAGTTAATTTTTTTTTTTTTTGTATATGCAAAAGTTTCTGACTCATCTATAATTCTACACTAGGCATTTTGTGTTGCATCAGCCATATGAATTGGTTAGTGAAAAATTTGATCCTAGACTGTATATGATAATACAAAATGAGTATCCAATTGCTCTAAGACCTTGTTTGTATTGCAACTTTTTAAAGTTTATATTTTATAAAAAAAAATATATTGTAATGGTGTGATGTATGTATGGTAATAAGTTGATTAAAAAATGTATTGAAGAAATTTTTCTGCGAAAACTCATAATCCAAATCAGGTTTAGGTTACATTAGCAAAATTATAGAATAAGCATCTATATACTCATTAGTTAAAGAATTAAGCATAGAAAAGTAGATAAATAAACAAAATCATGATATCTTTTTTACCATTTAATTAATATATATTTATGGTGTTCTAACCTTGTACTTCTCCCAATACAATTTAGCAATTCCTCCATGAGAAAGAAGAATGTTGTGGGCAACCAAGTAAGGCTCAGTTGCAGAGCTGCCCGCAGGACAGTCATTGTTCCTCCATGCAGAACACCGGCCAGGCGCCAAACTGCCCGTGTGATAGCCGCCTTGACTGAAGGTCCATGGCTCATTAAAGGTAGCCCAGTGCTTCACTCTATCACCAAAATTCATTGAAACAAAGCTCTGCGAAATCCAGAAAATCAGTCCTGCCAATAAGAAGGGCCAGATGTTAAAAAACATGAATTTCCCACTTCCTCTTCTTATTCAACTCTAATCAATAAAACAAGTCATGTGTTTAATTTTCTTTATTTTTGTGTTCATGGTTCTTCATGGAATGTGAATTATGATTAGTGCAAATATTTTCTTACGTGATACGAGGGCTTAGAAAGCCACCATATTCATCTTCAAGTGGTTGAGGACGATCCCAATGGAAGATTGTTGCAAATGGTGTAATACCTGCTATAGATCGAGCGAGGGATCAAGTTTGGTGGAAAAAAAAACCCTAAAATGAATGTTAGAATGGAAGTTAATTTTTTTTAATTAATATTCTGATATTCTATTTACTATTTGCTATAAGATGGTTGATGACGCTGTTGTAGAAAGCAATCCCTGCCTTGTTCACTCCTTTACTTAGCTTTCCAGCTGAAATTCAAACATATAATAAACTACCTCAAATTCAGGGCACTGGCTCAGGCTTATACTGGGATTTTGTGCACTAATTTCACATTAATTTGTTGGGGCTTTTGGGCGAAAAAGAAAAAAGATAAACTAACGCAAGGATAATTTAAAGCACTGCTTCTACTAATGGCTACAAAAATATAAATAATTTGGTTATGGTGCTTTGTAATTGTAAAACACAGTACGAATTTTGTATGGAAGATGGGCTTTTCTTTCAAGATATCCCATTGCCAATGGCGAACCTATTGAAATTTGACACACTTGCACTTTCATTTCATCATTTGTAATTCTAGATTGTCGATGAAAATTGATAACATTTATTAGAACAAAATTAATGTGAAACAAATCTTACTCGGTATAACTCTTGGCCACGAGATGGATAATCTGAAGCCATCTAACCCCAAGAATTTCATCAGTTGAATGTCCTCCTGCATTTGACCATGGCCTTTTTTACTCAAAATTTAGATCTTTTAAAAAAGTAACTCCTTCAAAGATTAACAAAAAGCTAAGAGCTGCAAATTATCTCTGAATTAATTACATACCTTGTAACGATGATAAAAATCATCAGCTACATCACCGGCGGTATGATCTGATATTTTATCTGTGATTTAAAAATTTCAAAGAGATTAATTTTATGAGATTGAGTTTTTTTAATTATCATTTAACTATGTTGAATGATTTGTTATCATTTTTTCCCGTCGTTTAGCATGCAAGGAATGTCTAGAGTAGTGAACTCTTTCTACCTAGATTACCTTTTCAACTAGAATATTAGGAAGACAAATTTATTATGGTCAGGTACACAAGTCGGAATGGAATATTCATTTGTTTCCCAATATCTTGTATAATCAACATTTAGATATCAAAGTGAAAATCATACAAATTTGACTTAATTGTACGGATTAGTTTATAGGATATAACATGTTTTATTACTTTTGTTCTATCTGTTCTACTATGTTATTTGTTTATTTACATAAAATTTTGACATTGTTTGCTTTTAGAATAATTGAGGATTGATATTAAAAATTTTCAATTGTAATACTGGATTTATTGTAGCATTTTTATTTTTATGTTAAAATTCTACATCCACCAACAATGTAAAACATAAATTACATGAAGCCAAATAAATATAATATATTTTTAATATTTAATATGTTTTCATTTTTTATATGAAATTGAAAAAAAATTCACACAATTGTAAAGAATAAAGTATTTTAAAACATTTGTTTTATATGGTCCATATAAAACTTGGAGTGAAATGAATAAGTTGAAAATGTCATTTCTTTTTAGACCATTCCTGCATGCCAAACATGGCGTGAGAAGCACTTCAAGAAGCTAATATACAACGGTTGCACCATCTCATGCTATGTAGTGAATATGTTTTCAGTCTTTAGAGGCAGCAAATATTGGTAGATATATAAAACTAGGGAGTTAAAAACTATACTAAAAGCACTTAGAGAGAGAAAGAGAGAGAGAGACTTGGATAAGCATGATCACGTTGCCAAGGTAATAAGCAGACAAAGAAATTTGCCTCTACCTAGTAATATGAAGTGTGGTGGGAAACTTTTGAGGCCAAAAGTTGAAATATTTTTGGGTTCTTCAGCAAATGAAAGCTCACTCAAAGAAGACAAGAACAGAACAATAAATAGGAGGCCATGGAAAGCAATGCGTTGATATGCCATGGCTAGCTATTTGGCTGGTTAGCTTCAATGTCTTCAATTGTACAAAGTTCCCTTTTTATAGTTGCCAAAAATAAGAGGCAAATTCCGAAAATCCTTTTGCTACAAGCGTAAATATATTTCATAAAAAAATTTTAGCGTGGACCCTAATGATCATCATTTCCATGATTAGTTGCTTGTGGAAATAACGTTTTGATTTGTTAATGATTATTGAAATCCTTCAGAGTTGGTTGAAGGATCATAAACTTCTTACTTACAATACTGCATCTAGTTTTGGCCGTGATTAACAAATTTTTCACAAGAAACTGTAATATTCTTTTAAAACTTTTGAATTGATCAATCATTTTCGAAAGTTATTTTTGTAACCAATTTGGGAACTCCTATTAGTATGTGGACGTCTCGTGGTTGTACTCTTCAACTTTCTATCTATGAAAAATGACATCATCTTATATTTTTGAGTTAGAAGTTTTCTCCTATATGAATTAAGATTTTAAAAAGACTTTGATTAATTTCATTGAAATACTACTCATTTTCGAACTTTAAAACACAATTTTGATTTATTTTCAAGGTTTATGACTTATTCAAGTAAATAATTGAAAGGTAAAAAGAAAAGTAAAAGCTCAGTTACTTGAATAAGTTTAATGTAAAACTCATATCAATTCAGACCACAATCAACAGAGCTTTTCACATATTAATTGTATTATACTCGTAATTCCAGAATAAGACATTCCATAGCCACCAAAAGATAATCCACAGTTTTTGTAAAACAAGTACGTACAGTTGGGTGGTCGGTCAGTTTGATTGTTGTTGCTTGGCTGTAAGCTTCTCAATTATAGCTATTTATCAAGAATATAAATCATTCCTTGGCCCCAGAAAACCCCTAATTAAATGTAAAACAAGTACAATGGGGTGGACTTTGTATACCTACCTTTGGCTCTTGTCGTATTTTGGAATTATTATTATTTTTTTTTATAAAGCATTGACCGCTATGGAGTGGATTAGTTTAAGTGATCAAGTACATCATATACAGATCAGCGAATCGCAAATCGATTGCCTCAGGAAATCAAATTGGACTTGTCACTTATGACAAAATTTTCTAATTAAGTGCAAACTAAACTCGAAAACCTTCCACAAATAACAAAAGCCTCAAGTGTATAAGCCTTAGCGAATATTCTTTAATCTTTATTACTTGTTTAAACTGAAAAAAGTGGCTCTGGTCTTTCATTTCTTTCACTCTTCCTGACTTTTGTAATCAAATTAGTCATAATTATCGTGTACAATATTTTTGTAGTTCTAAACTACAATGGACCCTTTTTTGGGCCGGGCAAAACCACGAAGAGTTGTTTGATCAAATGCACAATATCCTCGAACAAGAAAATTTGCTATATAACCAACTTGCATCCCAATGTACTACACGGGGTCTTCCATTCCCAAGGTCTGAGCAGAAGAACAAACCCGAAAAGCCAAATAGGAAAATTACAAAAAGGCAAGTAGAAGAACGAAAACCAATGAAAGTGAATAAAGACTTTTATTTCTTTCGTCATACATAATTGCGTGCTCTAATGTGGCACGTTATTGCATTTGCAACTATTCTTACAATTGCGACAAAATTTGGACAGCCAATTTGACCTAGACAATGAATAACTGAATTTAAAGATTGATGGATTCTAATCTTTTATTTGACATCACTCCACAGAGCTAAAATCAACGTATTGTACATATAACTGTTCATAAATTCACTTAGGACTGGAGGAATTTCTTGAACCAAAGAGCTGAACTTTTGGGGTATCTCTTCAATCCATTTTTGAAGTCAACAAAGATCAAACCAAATCTCTCTGTGAAACCTGAATTCCATTCCCAATCGTCCATGAATGTCCAAGGAAAGAAGCCCTTCACGTTCACGCCATTGCTGCAAAAAAAAAAAAAAAAAAGGATTGTAATTATCTTTAGAAAATGTAATCAGGAGTTTCTGATCTATGAGAAATGTTGACAAATAAAAGAGGTGGAGTTACCCAATGGCTTCTTTGACTGCCCTTAGATGGGCTTGATAGAAGCGTGCTCTTTGCAAATCCTTGACCCCTCCTTCAACTTTTGTTATATTAGTCTCACCAAATCCTGGTAATAAATGGGAATGTGAATTTTAATTTGTGAATTTCAAAATCGATCACGTGGATTTACCATCAAATTAAGTTCTTACCATTTTCTATAACATAAATGGTTGGATTCCCGTACTTGTTCTTTGTATAGACAAGAACATCACGAAGACCTTGAGGATACACATAAAGTGGTACTCCTTCCTGAACATCGTAAAATGAGTTGGTAAAATGAGATAATACTCGAATTACTGCCCAAAAATTGAAAGAATTAAAACAGTTCCCGGGGTTCTTCCAATTTCATCCAGTTCGAAACTGATTCACCAAGGAAGTTCCTCTTTCATACCAGATCAAAATAGGAAAAAGGAGCATAAGCAAGACATGATTTCTTTCACGAATACTGCTAATTAAAATTTTCAGATGGTTTTGTGGAAAAGATCAATTTGAATAGTTTCCCTTGGATTGGAATAGTCATAAATTGACATCTACAATTGCCAAATTGAATCGTGTTACGAAAAATTTTCTTATTATGAGAAACACACGTGATAGAGTGCAGTTTAGTCGGTCTTCTCACGTGCTTTTCCTATTTATTTGGACTAAATACTGCACTAATCGGTGGATTTTACTGAGATTTTGTGTTCTATGCGAATTGCAGCATTTAGGGGAAAAAGGAGCTGGAAAATTAACTTTTGAAGCCTTTCTGTCAGTTAGACGTGGGCACGCCTAAGTATGATGTCCAAAACCGGATTTGCGGGATTGTTGGCCACGTGCAAACTTCCAAATATTTGGAGATTCCTTCGCGGATGACAATTCTGGAACAATGCTGACTTAGCCAATTTGCACGTGAAGAGTCATTTGGCAACAAGACTTCAATTGGGATTTCAATTGATTGGGTTCCTTCTTGGACTAAACGTGCTGACCCACAAAAGCAGGAAGACTACTGGGTCTCTTTTGGGAGACAGCCGCACGAGGACTCTATAAATACAATCCCTTCGCTGGCTTCAGGCTCTCTCTCTCTCTGCAGAAACAAGTTTTAGTTTAGGCTTTTAGCATAGTTTTAGATTTTCTTTTCTTAGCTTTTTCGCATGGTTGTTCTCCATTAATGGAGGACTAACCTCCTACTGCTAGTCAAGGGGACAACTGAAGATTTGGTTCAATAATTTCTGTGAGATCTAATTTATTTTAATTGTTTCCTCCATTTATTGGTATTCATATGTTTCCTGCTTTTAACTGTTATAGTTCTTGTGTATGATTGATTAATGCGCAATAATTAATTGTTCACATAGACTATTTTGCTAAATAGGGATAATTGAATCCGTAATTGTTCGTTATCTCTATCCCAGTAGCAATTGGCGTAATTGGATTTATGTCAGGGGAACATATGATCTAATTTAAACAAACCCTCGTAGCGTGTTTGTTAGTTATGATTGAGTCTTTCTAATTATTAATGCAATCTAGAAATTAAATCCTACGGTCGTACGTAAGGTTATTTTTGGGTTAGAGAAATAGCTAACGGTCGTACCTTAGCTATCGATAAATTAAAGAAGGGCTGGTTGTTTAGCGCGTGCGAGACAACTATAACTAGTCTATTAATAAATGTGGAATTATCTGTGAATCGATGATCAGTGCATGAACCATTTCTGAAGTGTACCCTTGGCTAGAGTTTCTCCAATAATTATCTCTCTTATTTATTTTCTACAATTAATTTATTTAGTTAGCATTTGATCCAAAAAACCCCATACTTTGGACTCTAGAAGAAACGAATTATCCCCAATCCCTGTGGATTCGACCCTGCTTATCACTATCTACAGAAATTATATTTTGTTTGAGCAGGTATTTATTATTGCACAGGTTCGGCACCTGTCAATTTTTGGCGCCGTTGCCGGGGACTGGTGCCAGATTAATTTGTTTCTTTTTTGAATTCATCTTGTTTTTATTTTTATTTATTTATTTTTCTCTTATTTTTTTTATTATATAGTTTATGGCTTCTAACACTCCGTATTTTGGTGATATACTGGATTTTGTTTTCGGGGAAGGCAATGAGATTGATTGTTTTTCTAAGTTTGCATATTTAAAGGCAATAAACTCTATTAAAAAAAGAATGGCTGCTGCAACCTGTGAAATTTGTTATGCCAGGGATCATTCAACCGGTATGTGCCCCGAATATCAAGATGATCTGAGTGTCCCATTCAATAATTATGGAGATTTTTCACCCTGGTCTCAAACGTGGTATAACCCTAATCCAAACGGGTATGATCAAGGATGGTAGGATAACTCCAGTTATGATTATACAACAGGGCCAATGAATTTTCAGCAGTATGAGTCTCAAGAATCATCATCTATGTCAGGTATGTCTCTTGAAGAAATAGTTGAATTAATAGCTACTAACACATATCAAATTCAACAGGAGACACATCAAATTCAACAGGAGGTACATCAACTTCAACATGAGACACAAAGGATGAATAAAGAGATGAAAGAAGCAAGGCGTGAATGGGCATTTAAAACGAGCAAATTGATTTCTCCAGTTTATGAAGAATTGCCTTCACCGACTATTATCGACCATAAGGAAGATGAGAGTGCAATTATCCTGACGAATGACATGGTACTGCAAGAATCTCAAGAAGAAGAATCTAAAGATGTAGTTGAAAAAAAAGTTGAAGAGCAAGAATTGAGACCCCAACATCAAATGGTTCAAGTGAATGAATCCAGTGAACAATCTCCAAATACGGTGACATCTCCTCCATTCCTTGATCAATATTTTCCTGACTCTTATTCTTTAATTCCTGTTAGTGAGATTGATTTTATTATACCCGACGATTTTGAATTTCATGTCAGGAATAAATTAAGAGTCATGATGGCAAAATATCTCGAACCAATAAGTGCTCTTGATGGAGGAGTGAGTGAAGATTTAAGATCATCACTTGTTTGTTTGGTGCCATTTACTAGTCCATGGAAGCCCGTAGCTCGTGTGCCCAAGAATTACTCTATTTACGAGGGCTATCAGGATTACATAGAAGATGAAGCACTGAAACGAGCCACAAGATTTTATCCTCCATGAATACACAGGAAAATGTCTAGCCAAAGACATTAAAGAAAGGCGCTACTTGGGAGGCAACCCCAGACTATTTATTTTAGTTTTCATGCATTTTTTAAGTTTTAGTTAAGTGTTAGTGTCAATTGATGGTTTGATGTTTGGTGGCAGGAAATTAGCAGTTAGACGTGCCCACACCAGGTGGTCATGCCTGAGGAAAAGAAATTTTCGCTCAGGTTCTGCGAACTCCGTAGTAGTTAGACGTGCCCACGCCAGATGGGCACGCCTGACGGAGAAAATTTTCGTTCAGAATCTGCGGACTCTATGGCAGCTAGGCGTGCCCACGCCAGGTGGTCACGCCTGACGGAACTCAATTTCTGAGAATTGTTCTGCGGACTCTATAGTAGTTAGACGTGCCCACGCCTAAGACAGGAGTTCTTCGTTTACAAAAAAAAAAAAAAAAAAGCAAGAGTGCAAAAAGACGAAATTGCCCTTATTCAAAAAGAAAGAAACAACCGTAGCCCTACTTCTTCTTTTCTTCCTTTTTCTTTTCTTCTTCTTTCTTCTTCCTTTTTTTTTCTCCTTCTTCTTCTTCCTTTTGTCTTGCTGTCTGCCGCCGCCCCACACCAGAGCCAAGGACTGCCGCCGCCCATCGCGCCGCTGCCCGTCGCGACCGCGCCCCCAGCAACCAGCCGCGCGAGATCCTCTCCCGCACGCCGCGCCTCCAAGCAATCTGACAGATCGCGCACTAGCAGCCAGCAGCAGCAGGCGTGCGACTCCAGCTCACCTCCAGGCGGCGCTCGCACCGGCCGCACGCTTCACCCAGCCAACCAGGCGCGCAGCAGCGCGCCTTCCTTCTCTGCGCCCAAGCCCAGCAGCTCACGTGCACCTCCACCTCGCGCAGCTCAAGCTCCACTCCAGCAGCTCCATCGCCACCTCCAGCCCGCGGCAACTGCTGACTAGCCGCCATCCACCAGCGGCTACCCACACGAGCGAACCCAATCCTAACTAACAAACACGCTACGAGAGTTTGTTTAAATTAGATCACATGTTCCCCTGACATAAATCCAATTACGCCAGTTGCTACTGGGATAGAGATAACGAACAATTACGGATTCAATTATCCCTATTTAGCAAAATAGCCTATATGAACAATTAATTATTGCGCATTAATCAATCATACACAAGAGTTATAACAGTTAAAAGCAGGAAACATATGAATACCAATAAATGGAGGAAACAATTAAAATAAATTAGATCTCACAGAAATTATTGAACCAAATCTTCAGTTGTCCCCTTGACTAGCAGTAGGAGGTTAGTCCTCCATTAATGGAGAACAACCATGCGAAAAAGCAATCTGAAGCTTACAAAATTCTTCCTGGCCAAATCGGCCAAGGAAGGAAAGTAAAAAGTCGGCTACGGAGGAAAAGTCCCTGACCTCCGTACCTTAGCTTAGGTTCAAAAATCGCACGGGTAGTCAAATTTATGTCAAGTTCAGCATATTCATCAATCAATTCGTCATCGAGGAAAATAGAACACCCCATGGCATGAACTTGTTACGTACACTCATATCTCAATTGCATTCATCACAGTTTGAAGAAAAGAACTACTAAGGCAAAGGAAAAATTTAATCAGACAACTAAAAATACAACCAAAGCATACTTGACATATGCTAGTCAAGGGGACAACTGAAGATTTGGTTCAATAATTTCTGTGAGATCTAATTTATTTTAATTGTTTCCTCCATTTATTGGTATTCATATGTTTCCTGCTTTTAACTATTATAACTCTTGTGTATGATTGATTAATGCGCAATAATTAATTGTTCACATAGACTATTTTACTAAATAGGGATAATTGAATCCGTAATTGTTCGTTATCTCTATCCCAGTAGCAACTGGCGTAATTGGATTTATGTCAGGGGAACATATGATCTAATTTAAACAAACCCTCGTAGCGTGTTTGTTAGTTATGATTGGGTCTTTCTAATTATTAATGCAATCTAGAAATTAAATCCTACGGTCGTACCTAAGGTTATTTTTGGGTTAGAGAAATAGCTAACGGTCGTACCTTAGCTATCGATAAATTAAGGAAGGGTTGGTTGTTTAGCGCGTGCGAGACAACTATAACTAGTCTATTAATAAATGTGGAATTATCTGTGAATCGATGATCAGTGCATGAACCATTTCTGAAGTGTACCCTTGTCTAGAGTTTCTCCAATAATTATCTCTCTTATTTATTTTCTACAATTAATTTATTTAGTTAGCATTTGATCCCAAAAACCCCCCATACTTTGGACTCTAGAAGAAACGAATTATCCCCAGTCCCTGTGGATTCGACCCTGCTTATCACTATCTACAGAAATTATATTTTGTTTGAGCAAGTATTTATTATTGCACAGGTTCGGCACCTGTCAACACGGTCAAATTCTTGTTTTTTATCTGCATTATCTTCCCTTTTCACTCGTTTCGAATATTATGATTTCCAAAAGTGACAGAGGTTTTGAAGATATAACATACCGCCTCACCAATAGCCAGTCCATTCCTTTCCGCTGTGACAAATAGAAGTTTTGAAAGATTAACAATCGAAATAAAAATCAGTAAAAGTTAATTGTTAACAAAATTACACTGTATAAATCGGGATTATATATATTGGAACTCACTTGTCAGATTAACTTGATTATCAGTTGTATAGCTATTATTAGGACCATTATGGAAGTGGGCATTTGCTGCAAAATTTGAGGTATAATAATTCACTCCAAGGAAATCCAAGGAACCTTTCACCAACTGGGATTGCTCCCTCGTGAATCTTGGTAACCTTTTACCCACGAGACGACGCATGCTTTGTGGGTAATCCCCGAAAACTAAGGGGTCTAAAAACCTGCAAATACCACAACGTTTTTGTCATTTTGTTTTCTTTTTAAAAAAAATTTACAACTAAAAGAATATATTAAGGCGATATTTAAAAAAAAAAACAAAACTATGTAAACTCACCATCCATACACGAAGTCGATTGCGCGTTGTGCAGCTTCGGTGTCGGCCTTACTATTGGAATAAGGGACGTACCAAGTTGGGTTCAACACAATTCCTACTTCACCATTTTGTGATGCCTATAGAGAATATGAACACAAATTTATGTGTTATATTGTCAGATTAATTTTGCTTAAGATTTAACAAAATAGGCAATAAAAAAATTGAAACTGTATGTTTCGTTGTTTTTAAAATGGATAACCGTGATGATCATAATTTTGGTCATGCTTTGTCTTATTGCAGTCTCTTTTTTTTTTCTTGAGATATTGTTCATTGACAAATACATTTGGCTCAAGGACTTGATCCAAAATTTTCATGTCTTCTTCTTCACTTTCATACCTAGATGTCAAACATATGATACATGTATTTTTTTTAAATAATTCAATATAGACATTTTTATTATTTTTTTGAAACTTCTATACTCCAAAAGTCATTTTTAACAATATGCAAATCCCCCCAGAATCATAATAACACTAATTGATTTATCAAAATGAATAAGATAGCTATGGGGTGGTCACCTTGTACTTCTCCCTATACAGGTTAGAAATTGCTGCATGGGAGAGGAGAATATTGTGGGCAACCAAGTAAGGCTCAGCTGCGGAGTTGCCCGCTGGGCAGTCGTTGTTCCTCCAAGCTGAGCACCGGCCGGGGGCTAAGATGCCGGAGTCATACCCAGCTACACAAAATGTCAATGGCTCATTAACAGTGGTCCAATGCTTGACTCTATCACCAAATTCCTTGAAACAGAGTTCTGCGAAATCTAGAAAATCATCCCTGTGGGAAAAAAAGGCAAAGAAATAAATACACTTTAATCAGTAGCACTAATGGGATTGTATCAGTTTGACTAGTTTTCATAAATGCAGATCGCTTACACAATGCGCGGGCTTAGAAATCCACCATACTCATATTCCAAAGGTTGAGGAACATCCCAGTGGAAAATTGTTATAAATGGTGTTATACCTGTTTGCATGGGGCAAATTATCGATATTAGTTGATAATTTGAGAAGTGAGAATTGCCAACATTAGCAAGAGACGGTTTTCTTTTAATTAATAAAGATATATATTGTTGTCGAATGGAGATTTCTGACCATTTGCTAGAAGCTCATCAATGAGGTTGTTGTAAAATGCAATGCCTGCCTTGTTCACACCTTTACTTAGCTTCCCATTTGAGAAAAAGTTGAATATAGTCGAATTAATGATGTACTATAAAGTAATAAAAGTTTACCGATTAATTTGTAAAGCAAGCAATTACAGGCAAAAGTTTTTGTTGGAAAAAGAAGAAGTCAAGGATTCTCACGAGGTATAACTCTTGACCATGATATCGACATTCTGAAAGAATCCAACCCTAAGAATTTCATGAGTTTGATGTCCTCCTGCATGTGACCATGGTGTTTTCAACTTAAGTGCATGCTTTAAAAGTAGTAAACTAATTTTTTGACATTATTGTAAAATTATAATTAATGATGAAGAAAATGTATGCATATCATACCTTGTAACGATGATAGAAATCAACAGCTATGTCACCAGTGCTATGATCCGCTATTTTATCTGCAATGTAAAACAAGCACAATATGATGGTATAAAATCCACATAAGCTTATTTCCTTGTTCATATAAATTCCTATAATTATGTTGAGTGATTTCTTGTAATTAAAATGTCCTTGCAGTTTAAATATAGAATACAATTTCCTCAATTTTGTTTAATATCTCAAAATTTTACTTGGATATTGGTGGCTAAAGGTATCCCATATACTCGGCCCCCTTCTATCTTCGAATGCTGCTCCTTCATACTGCAAGTTGATGAACACATTAAAATTTCACCAACAATAAATGAGAAATATGACAAATAAATTTCACTGAAGTTGTAGGCTTGTATCCAGTACCTGATAGGCAGCTGAAGCTGCTCCAAATATGAAATCTTGAGGGAAACTTTTGCGGTTGAAAGTCGAAATATTTTTGGGTGCTACCCCAAATGAAAGCCCACTCAAGGAAAAGAAAAGAGCCAAGAATAGGAGGACATGTAAACCAATGCCTCGAGAAGCCATGCTCATTGAATGTTATTGCCTTTCTTAGATTGATTAATTTGGAGAAATACAAGCTTGCAATGAATATATGTTTTGGTTTTGTGTTCGGGAGTGGCTGATTTGTGAGGTTTCCCCCCTGATCAGAAGCCTTTTTGTAGTCTTCATTATGCACGTGTTACTTAAGCAAGTCCAGGATGGACCCATATGACATTTGAACTTGTCAATTTCTGTGAAAAGAAATAAAAAGTTGCTGGTCGAATTGAATTACTGATTTTTCAACATTAGATATATGCTGACGCCCCCATACTTCCATGTAGCCCCAAAAGCAATTTCTTAAACGATTATTTAGAATTTCCACTTTAGGTTGACAAATTAATCACACGTGTTACTTATTGGAACCTATCCATTAGGAAAATATTACGAACCTTTGAAACTTAGTCAATCCTTTGAAAAAAATACCAAATATATCAACCCACATTTATCGGAGTTTCGTGTCACGTACCTTAGACTACGTAGAAGAAACCACGCATGGATCGTTAATGGACGTGGCTAAAGAAATGGTACTTCTCCAGTAACTTTGGATAGATTGGATGATTGAAATGGTGAGTAAAGAGAGAAAAATTAGAGGCACTTAGAAGATGAGTTTGTCATTTTGATGACCGAATATAGTTGATCTAAACCATAATGTCACTTCAATATTTCTTCTAGTTGTCTTTCTATTTGACATTTACTCCCTTATGGCCATCACGTTCCTCCCTGTTTCCACAAATTTAATTGCTGCTCTTTTTCCTTTTACTTTTAATCATCCTGTACAATAATATTCTTTTCCAAGTATTTTACGTTTAAAGCAATTCATACGAAAAAGTAATAGTCCAAGAATAGTAAAGGGTTGAAACAGCAAACCTTTCAAGCGTCTCTAAGCCGCAAAGCTTACTTTTGAATCCATGCAAACCAGTCAAAGTTGTTCTAAATCATTGTTGACTAACGGCAATTTGATATTTAATGTTAATTATTATTTCATTTTCATTAGTTGTTCTAAATCTGTCTAAAATCATAAACTTTGGGGACTAAATTTGTTTTGATTGAAACAATAGGCTAAATATTGGGGGATCAAAACTATAATTTTTCCATACAAAATAATCAACATAGGTTGCAAAAAATCTACGTCTGTTTAAAAAAGAACAAAAATTTTCTTTTTATTTGTGTTGCCATTGAAAAATTGTTGTGCCTCTACTGCGGAAATGCAAGGTATTCAAGGGGAAAAGTTGGATTAGGTGGTAAATAGAGAGGGATTGTAAGTAGGAGATTTTGGATTCAAAATTTCTCATTTAAAAAAAAACAATAATGGTATTCAAGTTTGAGACCACTTTACAGATTATTTCAAATTTTGCCTAAGACATAATATTTAAAGGCTTAGCTAGAGCGGCTTAAATCCATTGCTCTTAAACCATTTACTATTGGGAAGATTATAGAAACCTCCCTTGAGGTTTCTTTCAGTAGCACTCACCTCCCCTATGATTTACAAAATAGCATTGACCTCCCCTAGGAACCTTTTTTTTTCGGAACGATATTTGTTTTTATAAATAACTAAACTCTTTACAATTTCAAGTAAAGACTTGAAAGGGCTTTACAGACAGTGCATACTAGCACTAAGGAATCCAAAATTCCTCATCTTGAACAATATCTAACGCATAAGCGCTAATTCTGTTGCTAATATGGTTAAGATCCCTACTAACTAAATAAAAGGAGCACATGCGAAACAAAGACTGTAGACTTAGTATGTCCTCTAACAATGTGACCAGTCGCATGTCATGAGATCCCCTAGGAACTAATTGGGGCCTATTGTTGTCAAAAGAGTGTGTGAATTTACCTAGTTACCCCAATTATTTGTGGTTATTTGATGAATGAATTTTACAAAAGAATGAATGTTGCTTGTGAACAAATTGAGGGAGTAAATAAGCTAATTAATTACTAATTAAACAAATTGAGTAACTAATTAAACTACTTTAAGAGTCCCTGTTTCTGCAGAGTTGTACCATCTTTAACCGTCATTTGTAGAGCTAACCAACGGCGCCAATGGAGGAGGAAGATGGCACCATGAATTGGCGCCAATTTGTGAATGACAGCTCTTGAGGTGACAAGGCTGTCTACCAGCTCCATAGCTAGTGTTGTGACTGATAAAACAAACCATTGAGGGAAGGAAACATAAGGGAAGAAGCTGGAGCTTTTGCTTAGTTAATGAGAGGCAAAGCATTTGTGAGAAAAGAAGCACAATAGGTGGTAAAAAGCAACCACAATCTGAGTATCTCATTCATAATATTTGCAAGAATCACAGCTGTACAAGTAAATTATCCTTGATGTTGTCACTTGAAGAGAGAAAATTTTCATGTTAGTTGTTGTATGATAGAAAGCCCAAAATGTGATTGCTCAGTGAATGGATGATGTATCATGATTTGAATATGTTAGTAATGATCAATGGCATATGAATGTGATGTTATTCCAGTTGTTAAAGACTTGCTGCTCTATTTGTAGTTAGAAGTTTTTTGACCTTAACAGCTCTTGTATAAACATGTTGTATTGATCATTGTCTGAGTTCATGATTGGTTTATGATACAAATATAGAACATTGCAGTAGAATTGTAAGCTGTTGTGATTTCCTCTTTGTTCAATAACAGTCACTTTTGGAACTTAGGATGGCTCTCCTTCCTGCTTATGACATAACTGTCCATTATGAGAGGAAATAATTAAGAATTTCAAATGTCGATCCAATTGATTACTGTTACATTAACTTGCTGTTTGATGTTATTGAGAAGGTATTCAGTTAAGTCCTTAGACATCTGAATAAGTTACTGCACATGAGGTGCCTAATTCCTAAGACAGGGGACATGTTTGATATTACTGATGATGATAGTTTTAATGAAATGTTCAAAATGCATAAGTCTGAAATGGTGATTAATGTGTATGTGCTAGGTATGGATGTTATTCCCAATGATCAAACTAATGTTGAGGTGGACCATGGTCAAAACACCTACATGAACTTAGGAAAAAAAAAGAAATGATAAGGTAGTTGTTGTTGAGATTGATGATTCTGAGGGTGAATATAATGACTCCAGCTCTGATTCAAGCTGGTTGCACAACATAGGGATGACATAGATGTTAATAATGTGTCTCTGGCAAGTAGTGAGAAAATTGACATGTCCTTTTTTGGTTTTGATGAGAATGAGAAGGGTGATGTTGTTTCTGATTTCGAAAGTGAGGAAGAATGTGACCCCATTCAGCAAGCCTTGAAATAAAAAATATGGACGTACAACCCAAAGACAGACATAGAGTTTAAGAAAGGTCAGTTGTTCACTAATGTTGATGCATTTAGAACAGTTTTAAAGGACTACGTAATTCAGAAAGTATTTCCCATTGTCAGGGTGGAAAATGAAAATAGTAGAATGACTACTATTTATGGTGTTGAAGGATGTAAATGGAGAATTCATGCATCATCAGTAGCAGATTCCATCACCTTTATGATTAAGTCTTACCAAGAGAAACACACGAGTGTGATGGATAGGAAGAACATAGAAGTTACAGCTGACTGGATTACAAAAAAAAAAGTACCAGTATTAATAATTCACCCTAACATGTCCACCAAAAGAGTAGAAGCAGAGATGATAAAATATGGTGTGCATCCAAGCAAGTGGCAGATTTTATAGAGCACTTGCAAAAGTAAGAAATTAGATTGAAGGTAATCATAGTGAATCCTACACCAAACTGCCAAAATATGCTGAACTCCTTAGAAAATACAACTCACAAAGCTAGATTTTGGTGCTGGTTCTGCACCAATACATTATGATTTGCCTACTCTCCTAGTTGAGTCTAGATTTTTGAGAATATTTATTAGTTTCAATGCTCAAAGAAGTGGATTTCTTGAAGGCTGTAAACCTTTTTGTTGGTTTTGATGGATGTTTTTTATAGGTTGTCGAGCCTGTGCAATAATAATTACATACTCAACAAAAATATAAATTTTATATATAGCGGTGAGTAGGGTCAAATTCACAGGAATTAGGAATAATTTATTTCTTTTAGAGTCTAAAGTATGGGAAATTTTATAAAAATAGCTAATTAACTAAATACAAGCAACTTAAGAAAATAAACAGGAATTAATCAACAATAGATACGACTCTAGCCAAAGATGCAACTTTTCAGACACGGTTCATTCAACTGATCATCGATGCAAAGATAATTCAATTACTCATTAATAGATTGGTTATAGTTGCCATACACGTGATAAATAACCAACTTTTCCTTACTTTTTCGATAGCCAAGGTACGACCGTTAACTATTTCTCTAACTAAAAAATAACCCTAGGTACGACCCTAGGATTCAATTCCTTAATTGCATTAAAAATTAGAAAAGTCCAACCCTAACAAACAAGTACACTACGAGGGTTTATTTAAATTAGATCAAACGTTTCCCTAACATAGGACCGATCACGCTAGTCTCCACTGGTATTAACCAATCAAACAATTACGAATTTAACGATTAATTTGGCAGTAGATTATTAGGTTAATTCAAACCATTGACATTCAAATAACTAAATAATTATAAGAAATTAAATCAGAAAATGCACAAATACCAATGAATAAAAGAAATAAGTAAAATAATTCGATCTCACAGATGTTTAGAATCGAATTTTCAAGTTGACTTTCGACTAGAAAAGGAATTTAATTGCGCATAGCCAATTGAAGCAATTCATACCATTTTTCCAAAGCCAGCTGCATTAGTCTTTGATAAGAGAAAAACTAGAGAAAAAAAAAGATTGGCCAAAAGGCCAAGCGGCCATCGTACCTCCCTATTTGCCGAAACTAATCAATCCCCTAAATAGACTAAGAGACGGCCAAATCGTAGTTTCACAAGTACTCCTAGTAGCCGCAACTTCCATCCTATTTTGTAGCTTTGAAAATAAGATAAACTTCCTAATTTTCCTAAGAAAAAGATAATTCCTAAATTGATAAAAGATAATTTAAATAGTTTCCCAACTGTAATTGGAAATATGTTTCGTAAGTCCTCGACTTGAATTAGGAAACTGCCACGCGCGAAAATTCTTGGAAAATTACCCTTTTTAACCACATTTTGCTCCTTTTCCTACAATTAACACCATTAATCAAATATAAGTAGAATCCATCAATTAAAACAATATTTGGTAAAATAAAAGAAGAAAACAGAGATAAAATTAATGACAAAAATGCAACCCATCAATTTTTTGAAAGGTCCTTTTGGTGGTGTACTTCTCATAGTAGTTGCTTTAGATGCTAACAGCAGAATTTTTCGTATTGCTTTTGCTATGAGGCTTTTCTGGACCTGACAGCAATTCTTGAAAAATTACCCCTTTTAACCACGTTTTGCTTTTTTTCCTACAACTAGCACCATTAACCAAATATAAGTAGAATTCATCAATTAAAACAATATTTGGTAAAATAAAAGAGGAAAATAATCATAAATTAATGACAAAAATACAACCTATCAGTTTTTTGAAAGGTCCTTTTGGTGGTGTACTTCTCACAGTAGTTGCTTTAGATGCTAACAACAGCATTTTTCCTGCTTTTGCTGTGACTGAGTGTGAAAATAAAGAAATCTAGAGTTAGTTCTTCCATTACTTTGAGGATTTCTTTGGGCCATTTGGAGATAATGTCCCTTTAACCTTCATGAGTGACAGACAAAAGGTATACTTGTTATGCAGTAGTTTTTTTCAGTCCTAATTCTGCTGCTCATCAGCATAACAATGTGATGTTTTTGGTTTTCATTTTAGGGCTTGAATCTTGCTTATGAGGAGATAGTGTCTGTTGCTAGTGGAAGGCATTACTATAGTAATATCTGCAGCAATTTTAAAGCTCAGTTTTCTAGTATTTTACTCAGTAACCTGTTCTGGAGAGCAGCTAAAAACTATGATAGTGCAGGGCATAATGAAGCCATAGCCAGTATAAATGAGCTAAACATGGAAGTTTGGAGATATTTGGAGAAAATTCCCAAGACAAGTTGGTGTAGATATACCTTTGCTATTGGAATTAAGTGTGATCACGTCACAAATAACTGCATTGAGTCCCTTAATGCATGGGCAGGTGAACTAAGAGGGAAACCTATCTTGACACTTGTTGAGGGGCTGAGGAAGAAGTTTATGAAGAAAATGCACAAGAGATATCAGAAGGGGTGCACACTAACCACTTCTGTCACCCCAAAGATGGTGGACAAATTGCAAAAAATAGGACAAACACCAAGACAATGTCAACTAACAATGGCAAGTGAAGACATATTTGAAGTAAGGGATATGAACAAGTCATACATAGTCAATTTACTTGATAAAAACTGTGATTGTAGAGCTTTTCAAATTTTAGGTCTTCCTTGTAAACATGTTGCATTGGGAATTATTTACAAGAGACAGAAACTGGAGTCCTACTCTGACTGTTGGTTCTCAAGAGATATGTACTTAAAGACATATGCAAGTATGATTCATCCAATGCCTGATGAGAAGATGTGGCCACCTATGCCAAATGTTAACCCTTCCATAGTGTTGTCTCCTCTTTTGCGAAGAGCTCCAGGTAGACTAAAGGTGCACAGGAGAAGGGAACATGATGAAGGACATTTTGCACCTCAACCAAAAAGGCTGAGCAAATTCAAGTGTGAAAATTGTGGCTCCTTTGATCACAACCAGAGGTCATGCCAAAGAGCTCCTGTGCAAAAGAAGAAAGGCAGCAAAACTCCTAGCCAACAGGTCTTATATGTGCTCAACTTGCTATTGAAAATAATGTGATAAACAAATAAAATGCACTAATGTTAGCTTATTCCCCAATAGTTGAGCAGTAAAAGAGGCAAACTAGGAAGAGGGGCTGCAAACATAGGCCTGTCAAAAGCAACTCTTTGGATAAATTATTTTTTGGTCCTACATCACTCATTTGTAACATATAGAACCTTCTAATAACTGATGTTTGTCTATGTTTATTGCTAGGATTATGTACAAGGTAATGTGCCTAGTGTGAATTCAAGCCAAGAAAGCAATCCTTCTCGTACAAGTCAACCTGGAACTGAAAATGTAGAGCTTCCTGTTCCGACCAAAGCAATTGCTTTAAAGCGAAGGTTCAATCAAATGAGTACATTTTATACATGTTTCAATAAAATATTTCTCAAACATTCACTTTCACTCTAATAATATACAAACGCAAAGAGGAAGGCCATTGTACAATACTGGAGCAACTACTACAGGAAGTAGCAAGAGAACTTGCTCAAATGCAACTACTCGGGTCACTCAAACTCTTGAACCTCCTCCAATTCAGCAAATTGCTGCTTCTCAAGCTGCCACAGCTACATCTTTCTCAATTAGTGTAGCTACAACACTGCAGTCAGGAAATGTCAACAGTAGCAGTAGTGTTAGCTACATCTTTCTCAATTAGCAATAGTTTTAGCATGCGATTCTGATGTACTTGCTGTAGTTTCCTGCTTATCGGTTTTGTTGAGCCTTATTAGTTTGATGTTAATTAGCTAATTGAATACGAATGTTTTTGTATATGACTATTGATATACAAATTTGGAGCTGATAGGCCTTTGCAATCCTTACCATCTGCTTCAAGTCATTGCAGCAGATTGTGTTTTGAATATAATGGATTGCTCAGTCATGCTTTTGTAGTAATGGATTGTTCTAGTGCTCTTTTGTAGCATTGAATTGCTCTGCTGCACTTTTGTAGTAATGGATTAGTCATGTAATCAAGCTGCTTTTTGTATCTGGTCTGGCAGTATTGATAGATGAAGTGGAATTTGTGCTGATGATAGTAGATTCAAACTCAATTGGTTGCATTAAATTGTAAATTCGAAATGGTGTTGATTACATGATGTTCCATTTTCATTCTCCTATGTCTTGCAACAGCAATTTGAATTGCAACTACATCTTATACCCCCCTTGTACATTTGTTATGCTACATTATCCTATTGACTTCACAATATGAATGAAAACATACACAGCAACAAGTATGAGATTGATAATGAAAAGTATGTTGACTGCTATATTTAGAGCTCTTGCCTTTGCCACTACAATTGGCATTTCCCTTTGCATGAGGAAGAAGGTAGCTGTTGTTGAGATTGCAGCACTAGAGCTATGAATGTTCTTCTATTGCTAACCTTTTCTTCTTCGGGACCATCATACCACTGGAAGTACTTGCATTTTGCATAATAAAAATATAACTTGTTGGGATTCTTTTCAGTCTCAGAAATCTTCAGTGTTGCCTTTCGATTGTAGGTGCAGTATTTGTTCCTTATTGTGAAGGATGCTAGGGAGTTTCATGATTCTCCCCTGTGGCTAGAAAAAGCCATGCACTTCACCTCCAACTACCAAACTAAAGTCAAGGAAACCAGCTGTGTTACCCCTAAAACTAGCTGCAGTAGTGGATTGCTAAACCATACCTCATTTATAAGCTAGTGCAAGTTCAGACCTCATTTAGCCGTTTAACTAGCCATTGCTTTCACCTGGTGCTTAAGCTGTTGCAAGTGCATTGGAAATAGTTTGCACTTATACCCCTTGAAGTTTATTGATTCTTAATAACTTTTGTCCTTCCTTTGTTAATACTACTAGGCAAGCAAGATGAAGGGCAAATCTGACACAAATTTCTTATCTCACTTTTTAAAACAATTTTTCAATGGGACTCTTTCTAACTTGGACCGGATCTGCAACAGATTCCTTAAGTTCAAGGGTGGTCAATGCAATTTTTTAAACCATAGAGGAGGTGAGGGTTACTGTCAGAAACCTCAGGGAAGGTTTCTGCAATTTTCCCTTTACTAGTCTTGGACTATTACTTTTCCTTGTGAGTTGCATTAACCCAAAAAAAAATGCAAAAGAAATTATTGTATAGGGTGATTAAAAGTAAGAGGAAAGAGAGCAGCAATTGAATTTGTGGAAACAGGGAGGTAATGTGAAACGTAAAGGGGGAAATGTCAAATAGAAAAACAACTAGAAGAAATATTGAAGTGACATCATGGTTTTCTTTTCTTTTCTTTTCTTTTTTTAAGTGACATCATGGTTTAGATCAACTGTTTTCAGTCATCAAAATGACAAACTCATCTTCTAAGTGCCTCTAATTTTTCTCTCTTTACTCACCATTTCAATCATCCAATCTATCCAAAGTTACTGGAGAAGTACCATTTCTTTAGCCACGTCCATTAACGATCCATGCGTGGTTTCTTCTACGTAGTCTAAGGTATGTGACACGAAACTCCGATAAATGTGGGTTGATATATTTGGTATTTTTTTCAAAGGATTGACTAAGTTTCAAAGGTTCGTAATATTTTCCTAATGGATAGGTTCCAATAAGTAACACGTGTGATTAATTTGTCAACTTAAAGTGGAAATTCTAAATAATCGTTTAAGAAATTGCTTTTGGGGCTACATGGAAGTATGGGGGCATCAGCATATATCTAATGTTGAAAATTCAGTAATTCAATTCGACCAGCAACTTTTTATTTCTTTTCACAGAAATTGACAAGTTCAAATGTCATATGGGTCCATCCTGGACTTGCTTAAATAACACGTGCATAATGAAGACTACAAAAAGGCTTCTGATCAGGGGGGAAACCTCACAAATCAGCCACTCCCGAACACAAAACCAAAACATATATTCATAGCAAGCTTGTATTTCCCAAATTAATCAATCTAAGAAAGGCAATAACATTCAATGAGCATGGCTTCTCGAGGCATTGGTTTACATGTCCTCATATTCTTGGCTCTTTTCTTTTCCTTGAGTGGGCTTTCATTTGGGGTAGCACCCAAAAATATTTCGACTTTCAACCGCAAAAGTTTCCCTCAAGATTTCATATTTGGAGCAGCTTCAGCTGCCTATCAGGTACTGGATACAAGCCTACAACTTCAGTGAAATTTATTTGTCATATTTCTCATATATTGTTGGTGAAATTTTAATGTGTTCATCAACTTGCAGTATGAAGGAGCAGCATTCGAAGATGGAAGGGGGCCGAGTATATGGGATACCTTTAGCCACCAATATCCAAGTAAAATTTTGAGATATTAAACAAAATTGAGGAAATTGTATTCTATATTTAAACTGCAAGGACATTTTAATTACAAGAAATCACTCAACATAATTATAGGAATTTATATGAACAAGGAAATAAGCTTATGTGGATTTTATACCATCATATTGTGCTTGTTTTACATTGCAGATAAAATAGCGGATCATAGCACTGGTGACATAGCTGTTGATTTCTATCATCGTTACAAGGTATGATATGCATACATTTTCTTCATCATTAATTATAATTTTACAATAATGTCAAAAAATTAGTTTACTACTTTTAAAGCATGCACTTAAGTTGAAAACACCATGGTCACATGCAGGAGGACATCAAACTCATGAAATTCTTAGGGTTGGATTCTTTCAAAATGTCGATCTCATGGTCAAGAGTTATACCTCGTGAGAATCCTTGACTTCTTCTTTTTCCAACAAAAACTGTTGCTTGTAATTGCTTGCTTTACAAATTAATGGGTAAACTTTTATTACTTTATAGTACATCATTAATTCGACTATATTCAACTTTTTCTCAGATGGGAAGCTAAGTAAAGGTGTGAACAAGGCAGGCATTGCATTTTACAACAACCTCATTGATGAGCTTCTAGCAAACGGTCAGAAATCTCCATTCGACAACAATATATATCTTTATTAATTAAAAGAAAACCGTCTCTTGCTAATGTTGACAATTCTCACTTCTCAAATTATCAACTAATATAGATAATTTGCCCCATGCAAACAGGTATAACACCATTTGTAACAATTTTCCACTGGGATGTTCCTCAACCTTTGGATTTCTAAGCCCGCGCATTGTGTAAGTGATATTCATTTGTGAAAACTAGTCAAACTAATACAATCCCATTAGTGCTACTGATTAAAGTGTATTTATTTCTTTGCATTTTTTTCCCACAGGGATGATTTTCTAGATTTCGCAGAACTTTGTTTCAAGGAATTTGGTGACCCTGCAGCAATTTCTAACCTGTATAGGGAGAAGTACAAGGTGACCACCCCATAGCTATCTTATTCATTTTGATAAATCAATTAGTGTTATTATGATTCTGGGGGGATTTGCATATTATTAAAAATGACTTTTGGAGTATAGAAGTTTCAAAAAAATAATAAAAATGTCTATATTGAATTATTTCAAAAAATACATGTATCATACGTTTGACATCTAGGTATGAAAGTGAAGAAGAAGACGTGAAAATTTTGGATCAAGTCCTTAAGCCAAATGTATTTGTCAATGAACAATATCTCAAGAAAAAAAAAAAAAGAGACTGCAATAAGACAAAGCATGACCAAAATTATGATCGTCACGGTTATCCATTTTAAAAACAACGAAACATACAGTTTCAATTTTTTTATTGCCTATTTTGTTAAATCCTAAGCAAAATTAATCTGACAATATAACACATAAATTTGTGTTCATATTCTCTATAGGCATCACAAAATGGTGAAGTAGGAATTGTGTTGAACCCAACTTGGTACGTGCCTTATTCCAATAGTAAGGCCGACACCGAAGCTGCACAACGCGCAATCGACTTCGTGTATGGATGGTGAGTTTACATAGTTTTGTTCTTTTTTTTTTTTAAAAAAAAATATCGCCTTAATATATTCTTTTAGTTGTAAATTTTTTTTTTAAAAAAAAACAAAATGACAAAAACGTTATGGTATTTGCAGGTTTTTGGACCCCTTAGTTTTCGGGGATTACCCACAAAGCATGCGTCGTCTCGTGGGTAAAAGGTTACCAAGATTCACGAGGGAGGAATCCCAGTTGGTGAAAGGTTCCTTGGATTTCCTTGGAGTGAATTATTATACCTCAAATTTTGCAGCAAATGCCCACTTCCATCATGGTCCTAATAATAGCTATACAACTGATAATCAAGTTAATCTGACAAGTGAGTTCCAATATATATAATCCCGATTTATACAGTGTAATTTTGTTAACAATTAACTTTTACTGATTTTTATTTCGATTGTTAATCTTTCAAAACTTCTATTTGTCACAGCGGAAAGGAATGGACTGGCTATTGGTGAGGCGGTATGTTATATCTTCAAAACCTCTGTCACTTTTGGAAATCATAATATTCGAAACGAGTGAAAAGGGAAGATAATGCAGATAAAAAACAAGAATTTGACCGTGTGTTTCTCATAATAAGAAAATTTTTCGTAACATGATTCAATTTGGCAATTGTAGTTGTCAATTTATGACTATTCCGATCCAAGGAAAACTATTCAAATTGATCTTTTCCACAAAACCATCTGAAAATTTTAATTAGCAGTATTCATGAAAGAAATCATGTCTTGCTTATGCTCCTTTTTCCTATTTTGATCTGGTATGAAAGAGCAACTTCCTTGGTGAATCAGTTTCGAACTGGATGCAATTGGAAGAACCCCGGGAACTGTTTTAATTCTTTCAATTTTTGGGCAGTAATTCGAGTATTATCTCATTTTACCAACTCATTTTACGATGTTCAGGAAGGAGTACCACTTTATGTGTATCCTCAAGGTCTTCGTGATGTTCTTGTCTATACAAAGAACAAGTACGGGAATCCAACCATTTATGTTATAGAAAATGGTAAGAACTTAATTTGATGGTAAATCCACGTGATCGATTTTGAAATTCACAAATTAAAATTCACATTCCCATTTATTACCAGGATTTGGTGAGACTAATATAACAAAAGTTGAAGGAGGGGTCAAGGATTTGCAAAGAGCACGCTTCTATCAAGCCCATCTAAGGGCAGTCAAAGAAGCCATTGGGTAACTCCACCTCTTTTATTTGTCAACATTTCTCATAGATCAGAAACTCCTGATTACATTTTCTAAAGATAATTACAATCCTTTTTTTTTTTTTGCAGCAATGGCGTGAACGTGAAGGGCTTCTTTCCTTGGACATTCATGGACGATTGGGAATGGAATTCAGGTTTCACAGAGAGATTTGGTTTGGTCTTTGTTGACTTCAAAAATGGATTGAAGAGATACCCCAAAAGTTCAGCTCTTTGGTTTAAGAAATTCCTCCAGTCCT